TTCCGTAGTGCTATTGTAAAAGGTATTGTCTAATTTCCCTTCAGTGTGTGTGTTGTCTGTTATATCTTCTTGATTCAGTTTTGTTAATTTGTACCTTTCTAGGAATCTGTCCATTTCTTCTGTGTCTTGTATTGTGTGAGAATAAAGATTGTCAAAGCAGCTATTGAGAATCTTCTGAATTTCCACTGGGTCTGTGGTAATTACACGCTTTTCATTCCTTATTACTTTTGTTTGAATTTTTTTCTTTCCTCTTGATGAGGTTATCTAGGGGCTTGTCAGTTTTCTTCAACCTTTAAAAAAAACCAGCTTTTGGGGGTTGGGGAGATAGCTCAGTAGAATAAGCACTTGCCTGGCAAGCTCAGCATCCTAAGTTCAATACCCGGTCCCACCAAAAAATTACAAAATTAAAAAAGTAAAAACCGATTGATAAGACCAGCTTTTTGATTCATTAGTTGTTTGAACTGACTTCTTCACCTCAATTCAATTAATTTGTGCTGTAATCTTTTTGATTTCTTCCCGTCTTTGGGTTTGTGTGTGGTTTGCTCTTCCTTTTCTAGATGTTGGAGGTTCAACATTACGGGTTTTTTTTGATCCCGTTCTGTGTTCCTAATGTTTGAGTTCACAGCTATAAATTTCCCTGTAAGAACTACTTTCATCGCATGCCATAAATTCCCATAACTTGTGCTTGAATTTTCATTGAATTGGGGATATTGTTCAATTTCTTGTTTAATTTCATCTGTGACACATTGGTTGCTGAGTAGAGTGTTAGTTAAGTTCCATGTACTTACGGGGTTTTTCTGGTTTCTTTTGTCATTTATTTCTAGTTTCATTGTACTGTGATCAGGTAATATGCATGGGATAATTTCTGTTTTCTTGCATGTACTTAAGCATGACCTGCGAACTAGTATGTGATCTATTTTAGAAAAATGATCCATGTGCAGCTGAAAAAAATTTGTATTCAGCTGTGGTTGGGTGGAACATTCTGTATATGTCCACTAAGTCCATTTGTTCCAAGCTCTGGTTCAGTTCTACTACTTCTTAGCTAATTTTTTGTCTGCTTGACCTATCTTTTTGGGATAAGGGAATGTTAAGGTCTCCTGTAAAGATTGTTGTATTGGATATTAGATTTTCATGTCCATTAACGTTTGTCTTATATAGTAGGGTGCTCCCGTGTTTGGTGCGTACATATTTATGAACATTACATCTTCCTCTTCAATTTTTCCCCTAACCAATATATAGTGGCCTTCTTTATTTCATTTGATCATTCTTGGTTTGAAGTTGAGACTATCTGAGAACTGGTTTGCTACCCCTGCTTTTTTCTGAGGTAGTGGGGCATATAGTATTGTTTTCCATCCTTTGACTTTCAGCCTGTGAATTTCTTTATGAGTTAAGTGTGCTTCTTGTATACAGCATATTGTTGCATTTTGTTTCCTAATGCACTGTGCCAGTGTACTTCTTTTTATTGGTGAATTGAGTCCATTTACATTGATGGTTATAATTGAGATGTATTGACTTACAATGGACATGTTATTTACCTGGTGTTCTTTACTCCTTTTTCTCCTGTGTTTAATTGTTTGCCATATTTGGTGGATTCCTTCTGTTCTAATTTGTGGAGTTCAGATCATTTTTGTTCCTCTCTAGAACATGTTTTAGTAGTCTGTGTAGTGTTGTCTTTGACATGAAATTCTTTAGTTGTTCTTTATTATGAAAGTATTTCATTTCTCCATCAAACTTGAGAGTTTTTCAGGGTATAGTAGTCTGGGCTGGAATTTGTTTTCATAGAGAACTTGAAGTACTCTGCTCCATAGTCTTCTTGCCTTCATGTTTTGTGAAGGGAAGTCTGCCATTATTCTGATGGGTTTTCCTTTAAATGTGATCTGTTTATTTTCTCTAGCGGCTTTCAGTATATTGTTCTTGTGCTGGATTTCTGGGATCTTGACTATTATGTCCTGGTGTGTTTTTAATTGTGTTGAAGTTATTTGGAGTTCTGCGTACTTCTCTTGTCTGAATGTCAGATTGTTTCCTCATATTTGGGATGTATTCTGCTATTATTTCTGCCCATATTATTTTTATATCATTTGTATTGACTCCTTTCTCATTGATGCCTATTAGTCTCACATTGTTCATCTTTGCATCGTCTTGCAGATGATGAATTATTTTTTCCTGCATCCTAGTTGTTTTTAAGAGATCTTTTCTTACCTTTTCACTCGCTACTGTGGTGTCTTCAAGATCTGAAATTCTATCTTCACTTTCACTGACACGGTTTTGCAAGCTTGTGATTGAGATTTTAAGTTCCTCTGTATTTCTTTGGCTCTGCTTCATGCGATCTATTTCTTTCCTGTATTGTTCATTCAAGGAATCCATTGTTTTTCTAATCTCCACTTTTTTTTAACCAGTGTCTTCTTGAGAAGCAGTTATTAATTCTTTAAGTGCAGAGATTATTTCTTTTTTTTTTTTTTTTTTTAGCAGAACCAGGAATTGAACTTAGGCCCTTGCGCTTGCCAGAGAAGCGCTTATTGCACTGAGCCATCTCCCTTGCCCACAGAGATTATTCATGATCTGATTTCCTCTATATATTTCTAAATTTGATTCATTATTTCAGACGCTATTAATACAGAGATTTCTTTTTTTATTTCAGAGGTTATTTCTGATCTGAGTTCCTCTATACCTTTCTGCAGTTCTTTCTTTACTTCAGATGCTATTGATGCAGACATTTCAGCTATGTGATTCCCAATTTGTTCTGTGTTAGTGTCCTCTGCACTTGTTCTGGGTGGGCTTGGGGCCTGAGATTGCATTTTACTCCTTTTCTTTGTCATTTTGTATAGCACTGTCCTCTGACCTTTGATGTAGATCTTTGATGCAGTTATAACCTTAGTACCTACTGAAATTCAGGTGCAGATCTACTAAGTTTGAGTTCTTCCAGCTGTTCCTCTCTTGGGTGTGGCTGCTATGCTCAGCTCCTTCCTGCTGCAGCCCTTTACAGTGAACCTGTTGTGTCCCTCTGGCAAGATGTTCTGCTCCTGGATTAGTTGGGTGGTTCTAGCTCCTAGTCTCTCTACAGGGACTTCAGCTGCAGAGTTTCACCCCAAGCCTGTATCCCAGACCTGGGCTAGGTGTGGAGGGGTCCAGGGGCTTCAGGGGAGCATGGATACTCTCCCACACACACGCAGGGCCTTGGATTGGTCTGGCTCCAGAGGGATGAAGGCATCCCGAGAGCACTGCAGAAGGTCTCACTCAAGGGATGGGCCTGGGCTTGGTCCATGGAGGTCCAGTGGGTGCAGGGGAGCTTGGGAGCGCTCCCACACACTGGCCGGGCCTGTGCTTGGGCTGGCTCTTGAGGGGTGGAGGGGTCCTGAGCATGCAGTCGAAGGTCTCACTCCCAGGGTGGGCCTGGGCTTGGTCCGTGAAGCTAAAGTTGGTTATTTTAAGAGTTTTGGTAGAGTTTTTGAGTCTTCTATGTAGAATATTATGTCATTTCCAAATAATCATAATTTGAGTTCTTCCTTTCCTTATATGTATACCTTTTATTTTTTTCTCTTGCCTAATTGATCTGGCTAACATTTTCTAAGTAGAAGAGGTAATAGTGGCCATGTTTATCTTGTCTCTACTTTTAGGGAGAGTTCTTTCAGTTTTTCCACATTTAGTATGATGCAGTCAAATTTATTTAATGAAAATTGACAAAAGTTTTTCTCACTTTTAGCTGTTAATTTTATTTTTTCAATATTTCATTTTTACAAGATTATATTTTATGATGATTATTCTTATTTGTGCATGTTTGTAGTACATAGTGTTTTTATTCCTTTATGGAGTTTTTAGCCTTCTTGTCCTTTTCTTATTTTTTCAGTACTCAGTTAGTGGCACTAACTGCATTTCTGATGGCTATTAACTGTATGTGGTTAGTGACAGCCCATGTTTTATTTTTTATTTTGAGACAGAATTGCTAAGTATTGCCTGGAGTTGCCCAGGCTGGGATCCAAATTGCAGTCCTCCTTTCCTCAGCCTTGCAGAGTGTTGGAATCACCAGCATGTGGGCCACCATGCCTGCATCTGTACTTTCTCAGTGAGTGTATATAGGGAATTGTTATAGACAGATATTACAGATACTCTTTTTGTTTATTTTTGAGACACTCTCATCTGGAATAGGTTGGTCTCAAACACCTGAGCGCAAGTGATCCTTCCATCATGGCCTCCCAACTAGCCAGGACTATAGACACATATTATCACATATAGATATCATGTTTAACTTCTGACATTGCCAGTCCTGCAGATAACCCACTACTATTATGGACTACTGGACTGTATTGAACTATTTCGCTGAATTCATGCACCTACAATATTTAAATGACAATGAAATATCCATCTCTGAGAAAACTAAACAAAAAAGAGGATATAAATGAAGGACCATTTTGTATCTGTATATACAAAATAGGATGGATATACAGCTACTTTCTCTTAATCAATGAGAATAAAAGATTTATACTAATAGTGTTTTGACAGGATGCTATATCTGCATCTTATACTATGAATAACCACTATGAAGACAATATGCAATGTATTAAATATTGTAACTGTCCTACTAACCTATTTTGAAACTGTCTCATTGCTATTTGTTTCTCAATAAAATTTAAAAATAAATAAAGCTCATCTATATGAAAAAAAAAGATACCATGTTTAATGATTACAAAATGGTCATGAATATCTGAGCCAGACACACTTGCATCCTTACAGATAAGGGAGTTATCACCTCATTTAAGTCATATGCTACCTAGCTAATGAGTGGCAAATCAAGATACAAACCCAGCTCTCCTTAACTTGCCATATCACCTTCCTTTTTTTGGTTAATGCATTTTTGTTGGTTTTTAATTGAGTTCCCTTTGCATGCTGTGTGTCTGCCAATCTGTGGTTTAATAATAGCAATGTGATAAAATAGTACAAACTCACTGTCTTGCAAATTCAGGTTTCTAAGTTTATGGCTGTATTCTTGCCTCCTGTCATCATAGGTTCATGTTGTTCTGAAGCTTTGGAAAAGTGGATTCAGCCTGGACAATGGCGAGCTCAGAAGCTACCAAGACCCATCCAATGCCCAATTTCTAGAGTCTATCCGCAGAGGGTAAGCAGAAAACCCTCTTTGAGTTCCAAATTAGTAAATAAGATGCCAACTTAGAAAGTACAGGGGCTGGGGAGATGGCTCAGTGGAATAAGTGCTTCCTTGGCAAAAGCACAAGGGCCTGAGTTCAATCCCCAGTCGTTGTCCCCCACCCCACCAAAAAAAAAAGTACAGACAGAGCATTTTATTATTTAAGAAATAAAATTTGGAACAGATTTAGCACAGATAAGATATAGATTCACCATTCTGCTCAAAATAATTTATTCACTTTTTCCCCTTTTGGGGAATAGTTTGGTCTCAACCTGCATTCCCACAAGTAGGTGGCTACTCTGAGCAGGTAAGAGTGAAAGTAGAGGCAGCCAAGTAGCCAGTAGAGTAGCCAGCCCCTCCTAGTTTTTACCATTGGAACTGAGAGCTTTCTAGTCTCACCCCCATTACTGGCAAATGGCCTGCTTGCTGTGAACCTCAACACTTCCTTTCCCCTCACAGGGAGGTGCCGGCAGAGCTGAGGAGGTTAGCTCACGGTGGGCAAGTGAACTTGGATATGGAAGACCATCGGGATGAGGACTTTGTTAAGCCCAAAGGATCTTTCAAAGCCTTCACTGGTGAAGGCCAGAAACTTGGCAGGTAAGAAGCAGCACCAGTATGCCCTAGACAGGCCCAGCAGAACTTGTGTTCTCACTGTGACACTAGAGATAACGTCTTTACAGAGAAGTTCAAATTTTATGGGAAGAAGAATATGAAAGATGTGAATTTTGGAGTTAAAAGATTCTCCTTCATTTTTTACTTGTGACCTTGGACTTGTTTCCTGAGCTGTAAATTGGGATTAAAAGAGTCCTTACCTCCTAGAATTGTCATTGCAGAAAATAAAAGAACTGATGTACTACTGCCTTTGGTGAACAGTAACATAATTGGTGCTTTGGCTCAGTGATCAAGGTGTTGGGGAAAATGTGAGTTCCTTGATAACTTAAGGTCTAATCTGGGACTTAGGGATACGAGCCAGGCCACCTACTAGCATTGCTTGGGATCTTAGGGAGTCACACTGTTCATTGCAGGCATGTGTTCACCATTGTAGCAGATTACACCTAGAGACAAACCATAACATGAGTTACATTTCCTATGAGTACATGTATTTCTGTATTTTATTTCTATGCTTATGTGATTGTTTCTTACAAATGAGCTGTGATTTACCAGTCTTTGCTAGAATACGTAAGCAAACTGCCAGTACTATGAACATTGCAGTGAATATCTCTGTAATTAAATCTTTGCATACCCTGTAATCTTAGCTTAGAGATAAAATTGCTGGTTCAAAAGATGGTCATATTTATAAGATGTTGTCAAATTTCCCTCTAAAAATGTGCTGCAGTATCTAGTTTTCATCTCTACCTTAGTTATAAGGGGAAGTTCAGAAATCACTCTCATGATCCTCATGCTTCAGCCTCCTGTTTGCTGGGATTACAGGTGTGCACTGCCATGCAAACAGCTCTTTGTTTTACACAAAAAACACTAAAGTCCTAGAAAGTGAGCTTGCTCTCAAGGCCATAGATTAATGATAGAGTAGGGACCAGATGGCATGTAGTGCTGCTGAAAAATTTCTGTACACTTATTGTCCTTACTTATAATGGCTAGTGTATAAAAGGATAACATCAAGATCTCCATTTTCAGTGAAGGAAATGGAGACATCAAGAACTTTAGTAACATGCTTGAGGTCCAAGTTCCTAACAGAAGATATTAGATTCCCCCAAGAACAGGGGAGGAGATTGAGGAAGTATTTTCAGTACAAATACAAGTTCCATAAAGTAAAGTCATAGACAAAGTCCTGGCTGGGAGGAAATACATAGAATAATACATACAGGGAAAAAGCTGTTTGTTGCATAAGTTAAGGTTTTAGAACTGATCTATAGGGGCCAGGGAGATGGCTCAGTGGAATAAGCGCTTCCCGGACAAGCGCAAGGGCCTGAGTTCAATCCCCGGTTCTGCAGAAAAAAAGAACTGATCTATAGCATATGGTTCTTTTTTCTCATCTGTAAAATGGAGATAATCCCTATCTGAAAGGTTGGTCCTGATGATTCAGGCAGGCTAATATAAAACCTCCTAGACAACACCTAAACAAAATAGATGTACATGTCACTTCTCTTTTCTCCCTTCCTCATCCTATCCAAAGAGGTACCTGTTGCTTGAAGATAACAGGTACTTCCTCATTTTAGGCCTAAATAGGTACATGTAGCAAATCTATTTTCTCCCTAAACATGTAATCTTCCCTTTCTGGTAGGCAGTAGCTTCAATGAGTACTGTTACATACTTGTAATTCTTATAAACAGTTGAGGGACTGGCTGCCTCTAGTCTTTATTTATTTATTTATTTATTTATTTATTTTCTGTATTTTTTTAGGGAATGGTCTACAGGGTGTTTCATAGTGATTCTCCTGTTTACAGCCTCCAAGTGCTGGGATTACAGGCATATACCACCATGCCCAGTCTCAGTCCCTCAAGGCAGGCCCCAGGGATAGAAGCCCCTGGCCCCCTTTAATCTGCTGAGCTATTTGACTGGCCTGCCAATAGTCTGAACTGAGGAGTTGACGTTATACTCATAAAATTAGTAAACAACAGCTATAACACATTTACATGCTTAATCTGTAACTTTCCACTGTTTCCAAATAAGGCTCTGACCACATAATTTATCTGTGTGTCAGCCCACATTTGAATCCTACATCCTATGAGGCTGATTTACAGAGCAGCTTCTCTCAGCATGCAGATGTGGCCAGCTTTCTCTTGAGTTCCATGTATTAAATCCTTAAGCTCATACTACTCACTTTCACAGAAAAGGATTTTCACTTTGTTTTTTGTGTATTCTACACAACATTTCTTAAACTGGGATCCTTGAAATATTCTTTCCGCAAGATGTTAACAAGTACAAAGGGCAGGGCCTGGTGGTTCACTAATTGCCTTCACTGCACAATCTCTTGAGGCCTTTAATAGTTTTTAGTGCCCCATGGTGCCACTAAAATATTAAGTGGCATTTCTTAAACCTCACTGGAGGTCTCAAGGAACTAGGATCCTATGAAACACTTCTGAGAGCAATTTCAGTTGAATTTGCTACACGTACCTATATAGGCCATAAAGATCAGGGCAAGAGTGAGGCAGAGAAGCTGGTGAAATGAGGGGCTTGAGGAAAAAGTCGGTAAATGCTTTAATGTTTCCTCTGTAAAGGTCTAGGCCTGGTTATCTGCTGAGTGAAAAGATAAGAATGAGGCAAGTGGCTGTTTAGACGAGAGAAGGCTCCAATTCACTACTGTTAATTTGGAGTTTATGTTCATTTTGTGTTCATCCACCACTATAAGTACTTTATGGAATTTTCCCCTTTAGTCCTCACAAAGCTGACTGAGTCATTGTTACTACCTACCGTTGTTAAAACTAAGGGAACCTGACTGATTTGTGCAAGGCTATACATTTTTGGCTTATATGACTCTTAAGATCAAACTCTTAACTACTCGAAGACTTCATGTCCTCTTCATTGCACAAGTCCCCCCCTTTTTTTAACCTTTAAGAAACCTTGCCATCACTCTTCCACGTAAACACCCACACCGACACACTCATACATAGTTGGCACGTGAATATAAGACATATCCATGAGTGCATGGGGATGTAGGTCTGGAGCGAGTACCACAGCCTGCCAGGTTATACCCCAGCTTCTCAGCTGTATACTTTGAATCTTGCCTTGGCACTTTATATAAGCCTTGCTGTTGAGTGCTGCAGTCTTGTCTCTCTAGCCTCAGGCTTCCTGTCTATAGTCCGTGCTCAGCTGAGCACTTGAAGACCAGTGAGCACTTGAAGACCCTGACGCAAGGCTCCAAGGAAGACAGGGAGCCTGGAGCCAGACTAGGATCTGAAGTGAGCTCTTCAGGACCTGGGAGTCCCACGAGGGCAGGATTTTAGTCTGTCCTGATCACTGCATCAGCAACACCAGACATGAGCTAGGCACACAGTAGATGCTCAGTAAAAATGTGAGAAGAAATTTCCTGCTACACAAGCCTAACAATGTTCTCTTTCTTCAGCACGGCCCCCCAGATATTGAGTACCAGCTCTCCAGCCCAGCAAGCAGAAAATGAAGCCAAAGCCAGCTCTTCTGTTTTAATCAATGAGTCAGAACCTACTACCAACATCCAAATACGACTTGCCGATGGCGGGAGGCTGGTACAGAAATTCAACCACAACCACAGGTACCTTGTGTCATCTGATCTAAATTTTCTAACAGTGTCCCAGACATCTGCACACCTGTAGTCTATCCTTCTAGAGGGAATAGTAGAGAGTTTGCAAGTCTGGTGCCTTTTGGTCCTGTTTCTGTTCTCTGTTACTATTGCTAAGGACTGCTCACATCTCTCCTGTGGTACCTTTCCTCATCCTTGGATTTTTTTTTAAACCAGTAGATGTTGTTCAAAAGCAGTCTGCTGCTAAACCTAGGTATAAAAGAGGTCAAATTAGAACTGCTGTGGTTGATGGCAAGGAGCTCGTCCACCTGGCCTTCTTTATCTCACTCCCTCAGGGGTCTCTAAAAACCAGTAGACTAAGGTTTTTTTGGATCTGGCCTTTGAGATCTGCTCTGCTCTCTGAGATTATCTAGGCTGAATCAAAACAAAACACTCCCTCTTATTTCAAAGATGGGAAATCCTAGGCACCACAAGAAGAGACTTAGTGAGAGAGGTCTGGAGGATTGTCACTAATAAAGATAGGCACTTTATTAATGACAACTCCTTTTTTGAGAGCAGTGTAGTTTCAGTTTTATCAGTAACAGGCTAACAAAGCTAAGATAACCTGTGGGGCCAGTGAATGATTTGACATTCATTGAATATTGACTGAGTTTAAAGGTGTGTATCAAGCAGCCAGTGTGAGCCAGGAATATCTGGATCCTTGCTCAAACTTCTCTGAAATGGAGTGATCCATCTTACTGGCCAGAGTTACTCACTTCAGTTTTATTTCTCTTGGTAACACAGCAGAACTGCTGCTCAGTCCAAGGAGCACAACCCATGCTAAGTATGGGTGAGAGGGCCTGGTCTGCTCTGTCTCAGGCTGAATGCATTTTGCCTAAGGACCACATTGTAGATGGCATAAGTCCCAGGGCTTGCAAACAGAAGGAAATTTCTGTTGAAGCACTCTAGGGACAAATACTTTCAGGTGACTATTCTCACGATTACTAGGTTTAAGGCATGAGCAACATCTAGGAAAAGGATTTCTGGAACTGAGGATTGGTGACAAATAGTTTGAGTGCTTCCATAGAAAAAGAGAAAATTAAAAATTCCATAGAAAATTTTACACTCCCCTGTGGAATTTGTGGTCTAGGTGAAAGTAGTAATCAGGTCATCCCAGAATTATGTGTTCACAGACTTGACCAATCCCGCAAAGGGAAGGTCAAGGAACAGACTAAAAGCAAGGTAAGGCTGTAGAGGAGGTCGAATTTAAGCTGGAGGTGTAGTTAGGATTATGGAAGGGAGACAGAAGAGTATATGAGAAGGGGAACTCTAATTTGGGAAGGGAGTATGGCCTAATGAGAAACTAAGGGGAAAAAAGAATGAAAGAAAGGAGGACAACATTAGGTAGGCCTTGGGACCATAGTAAAGAAAATGGAGATATCAGCAGGGAAAGAGCTGCTCTAATATGCTTCTAAATAATGACTTTGGCTGTTCATGGTTTAGCTGGGCAGGGAAGACACTCATGTTCATCTTTCAAAGGGTGGGGGTTGTGGACACCAAAGATGGAACTGCTCACCTACTCCCCACTCCTTCAGGATCAGCGACATCCGACTCTTCATCGTGGATGCCCGGCCAGCCATGGCTGCCACCAGCTTTGTCCTCATGACTACCTTTCCGAACAAAGA